TCGGGGGGCCGTGACCCCACTGCAAACCCCCCCCCACACACGTCCCCCCAACACGGGGCAGGGGTGAAGCGGTTCGGCTGCAGCGCATTGCTGGGGTGTGTCTGTGAGCCCTATGCTGGCCCTGTGCCCGTGGGAACGCTCCCACTCACTGCTGGAACTCAGCACCGCGTGCCCCACATCGGCCCTGCACCCTATGGGGGTTGGCACCGCTCAGCTCCAGGTTGGAGGCTCAATGGTGGCACTGGGAAAAGGGCCCACATCCTCCCTGGGTCCTCCAGGTTCCATCCCTGCTTTGCTCTGCAGCAGCAGCAGCCCCTGCTCCCTTCCTTCCCTCCTCCTTCACTCTCTGCCTCTGCCCTAATCCCATGACCTGAGAGGGGAATGCAGAGACTTGCGATAAAACCCGCATTTGCCAAAGCTGCAAAATCAGACAGGAATTCGGTCCAAAAGGGGGGAAAAAAAAAAAAGAAAGAAAAAAAAAAAAAACCCAAAACAAAACAGAAAAAAGAGAGAGAGATTAGGGAGAAAAGAGCAAAGCTGCAGCCTGGGGCTGGTGGGGGATTTCCCCAAAGAAGGAGCCCTGGGAACTCCCTTCCTTCGAGGGACAGCACTTCCAAGAACCCCGTGAGCTTTGGGCTCCTGGGAGATGCAGAAGTGCCAGCACTGCCCCAGCTCAGCCCCCCGGGACCCCACATCCCCTCTGCCACGGCTCACGGGTGGGGTGGGCTGTGTGGGGAGCATCGCAGAGCTGTGGGACTCGCATCACTGTTTGCTCATTGCGTCGTCTCTCCCCGAGCAGCTCCGATGTGGGGTTTGGGGAACGTTCCCCCTGGAGAGCTCCGATGCAGCACAGCGATTATGCCCGAGTCTGAGCGTCATCTTTAACGATTTATTCCCAGGGCAACCCAATAAACTAAACACACAAAATCGGGGCTGCTGGGAGCCCTGGGATCTCCCGGCACCGTCTCTGGAGGTTTCAGATACCTTCACCTGAACCCGCAACCGCACGCACTGCCTGGAGCTGAGTACTATGGGGGCTGGGGGCTGCCGGGCAGCCACTGCCACGGGGCACCGGGTGCTCCGACGCATCCCGTGCCATCGCCGAGCGCCGCCCCTCGGTTGCCACATCCCTTTGTGCCCCCGCAGACCCCAAGCGTGAGGTCGGGAGAGGCCCCGCTCCGTGACGATGTGGCTCCCTGGACCCCCGCAGCCGCGTCCCCGTGGGGTTTTTCACCCACGCAGCGCCGTGACCGCCGGAGGGGCGGCCGGGAGGCCCGGGGAGAACAATGGCGCGTCCCGGCCCGGCCCTCTCCCGGGGACAATGGCACAGCGGAGCCTGAGCTCATCGCCCACCGAGAGCCCGTGGGGCCGGGGCGGGCGGGGGACGCGGTGCTGTGCCACAAAGGCTCTCTCTCCGCCCGAGGGGCCCCGCTCCCACCCGGCATAGAACGGCCCGACAGCCGCGGGGTACCGGGATCCCCCCGGGGCTCCGTGCTTTGCTGCCTCGAGGGGCCGGGGGGTGCGCGTCCATCTCCTCCCGCAGCCTCTTTGTGTCCCTCCGCGCGTTGCGGGGCATTGTCTGCGAGCGGGAGCCCGGCGGGGGCAGCGCGGGGTCAGACAGAACCCCGCAGTCCCGGCTCACAGCGCCCGGGGGGGGGGGGCTGCCGGCCCCGACCCCCACCCGCGCCCCGTTCTCCGCGGGGAGAGCGGCCCGGATTTCAGGGCAACGCCAGCGCGACCTCCGCCCCGAGCCCCGCGACCCCTCCGGGACCGCGCGAGGGGCTCCCACCGCTCCGACCTCGGGCCGGCCGTCCCCTCCCCAACGCCGGGCGGAGGCGGCCCC